CATTTCTCTCCATGATAATTTTCCTTTTAATATGAAAATATGATCTGAAAATTTTCAGAATTTTTCGTCACCCCTAGGTATTTATTTTGAATTTTCTCTGATTAGGCCTTTATTAGTAAATCTGAGGGAAAATAAATTCCCTAAAATTAATTCTTGGGGAGCTTCTAAGGCCTAAAATAAATTTTATAAATTCAAATAAATATTTGGATTAATTATCCATCAATCTCCCAACTTTATTGAGGCCTATAACTCATTAAAATAATTATTTTCCTTTATTTTTCCAATAATTTCCCGAAAAACCTCCATTTACGGGAAATTATGTAATAATTCATTTTCACCGAAATTCTACCTTTTGGGCCTCAACCAAGTTTTCAAAACCTTTACTCTACAATTTTCCCATTTTTTGGGGATTTTCTGGAATTTTTCTCAAATTTTCCCGTTTTGCCCTTCCTAGACCGATGATTACGAAAATGCCCGTCTAGACCTTTTCGGGATTTCATATAAAAAGTTGTTTCATCTTCCCTTATAGTTCCTACATTGACCCTCATCCCAATTTTTGATCCTTTATCGCCAGATGAAAATTTTTGGGATGTGACAAGCGGTATAGATGACTTGGGGGTTACTTGGATAAAATTCAAACAGATGTTCTTTGATCACTATTTTCCTCCAGCCATGAGACAGGAAAAATAAACAACCTTTTATGCTCTTCGACAGGAGAACATGCATGAAGATGAGTTTATTGCCAAGTATATTGACCTCTCTAAGCATGTTACCTATCTGCAGCAAAAAGATAACCTGGAGTGGATGACCTGGCAATTGATAGAACGGGCGAGGCCAGAGTTGATATATAATCTAATATTATATAAGATTATTTTAGAAAGATGATGTTACATTTATTACAATTAAGTAATTTGTTTAACTTCTTTTTTTTTTCCAACATTTAATCTGCTTTAATTTATTCAAATTATTTTAGTGTATTTCTTATATTTAGTATCAAAACAGTATTATATTTCATGTTAGCTAGTGAAATATTTTAACCCATATTATCACCATATTAGATTAATTAACATAATAATTAATATGTATTTGCCAAGTTGAAATTGTTTGACAATAAATTGCCATTTCATTGCCAACAGAAAAAGAAGTGACACCATGGTTAAGGTTTTGCTTGTGGGCGCACTATTTGGAAAATGACATTTGCATCGTAACGAAGAACATATAATATATATTATTAAGATCTTGTTTTTTAAAAATGAAAAATAAAATATTTGTCACCAAGAATTTTTTTCCCCCAATCACAGGCCATTGTTAACAACTTTTCACTGAATGGTTACAATAATAGGCTTTTTTTTCCCCCAAGAAAAAAAGGCACTAAACTATATAAATTTTTAAAGAGAACTTTTTAAACACCAAAAGGTGTTCACAGCCATCATTCCTATATTCACCGGCCCATTTTATGACATGCTTAGATGGCTGGCCAAAATAATTGATCTAATTTGATCATAACAGAGTGAATATATGATATTTTAACAGTATTTAGTCAATATTTATGATGAATGAGGCTTCTAATGTTTTATATTATACTCTAATATTTAATACAAGAGCTAGTTGATAGTAGAATTTGAGAATAAATATAAAACCATTGATCGTTAGTATAAAAGCTAATTAATGGTAGAATTTGATAATAAATATAAGACCATAATTTATTTTGTCTCCCAAATTAATAATTCTTTTTCTAATTATTTCTATTGATTGTAAGGGTTTTAACCAAAGAGTAACACTGGTGGATATGATTAAAAAGTATAGTTTATGAAAACTGACACATATTTATTACAAATAAATAACTTAATTAATTTTTTTAACATCCTTTCATTATTATTTAGCTCTTATGTTAGGAATCAGATGTAGTATATAGATAATAAGCATCCAATAATTTTTAATCTGAAACAGCATTCACATTATTAATTGTCAAAAAATGCATCATAATCATCCCACATTATTTTTTCTTGACTGTGCGCCCAAATAAAAAAGAGGTACTTAGGATATGTGGACAATATTGATGTGTGTGCTTGTTTTAATTTGTCACCTCTGACCTCACCTTTACTCTCTCAAAAAAGATCCTTTCCCTATTTTTGTTTTCAATATATATTATAATTAAGAAAATTATTTCTCATATTTATTATATTAACTTCTCTAATCACAAATATTTGTATCCTATTTTTAATGTGCCTTTCTAATTAACTGATAAAATTTTAAAAATAGGACATATAATCATTTGTAATCGAGGAACTTGATATAATGAATATAAAAAACTTTACCTAATTACTTTTCTATAATTAAATATTGCTGGCTTGTGGCATCCACACGAAAGTTTCAATATAATACACACACAAACACACACAAAATTCTATTATATGGCTCAATTTGGCACAATGATTCAGCCTACTTTGGCTTTTTATGCGAATAAAAATGTCGGATGACAATGGCAACACGGCTCTTATTAAAAATATGTCTTAAAAAGATATAAAAAAATTCATTAAAAAAAGTGATTGATTATTTTTCCATGTTTCTTCCACTCTAAGGTTTTTTTCCCCTATATTTTCTTGTCATAATTCACACATCTATTGATGTTTTAGTGTTCCCATTCATACACAATTTTTCTTTTGTAAAATCTAAAAACTAATTAATAGGCTTCCTTTTTATATATAAATTCTTATTATCTATTAACATAATGATGCTATAGCATCACATCTTATTTGATTGTTTTAAATAAATCCACCTAAACAATTGTATAAAAATTAGATTTGTGTGTTTCCTTTAAATTAGGTATTAGGCAAAGCGATTACAAACACATTTGGATTATTTAAATGGCAAAACCAAGCAAGATCGTGGCAGCCACACGAAAGTGTGTGCGTGCGTCTCTCTCTCTCTCTCTCTCTCTCTCTCTCTCTCTATATATATATATATATATATAAAAGCAGGCGTTCAGTATGGGACATTATGTCCTCCAAAGTGATTTCTATTTATAATAAAAGACATGTCAGATGATAATGACCACGTATCTTCACTCCTTTAATCTTAATAAAAAGAGAGACACAAAAGCACGCATACACAAAGTGAATCTAAAATAAACTCAAGTCCATGCGTAGAGGAGAAAGATAAGGAGCAAGTGCTAGCTAGTGTAGGAAGGAGGATAATGCCCATTAATAGTGAGATTAATGTAAATTATTACACAAAAAAGAAAAGAATAGTGAGGTTTATATATCTCGAAAACCACAAAAAATTAGGTCAGACTGATTCCGATGAGTTTCCAAGTTCTGGGTGTGATGGCTTATATTGGAATTCTCACGAAGCCCACAAGAAGACCACAGACTTTAATTTTAACTGCTAAGAAAATTAAGCACTATTATTTTGTAGCCTAAAGTAGAACAATATATTATATGCTTACAAGCCAACATCGATATAACAGATCATCAGAGAAAGCTTTAGATTATTAAATCTGTGAAGGTATATCAGACATAATAAATACTATAGTCCTCCATCAACTTGCAATTATATACTTCTCATCTTGAACTTAGCTCGCATGGGAGATGAACCTTCCCCCCTCTCTTTATAACGTACAAGCTTTAATATATTTAAATTTGAATGTGGTATCTGGAAGAGAATTTGAGGGGTCTATCTATGTGTGCACGCGTCTCTATAAATACTGTTTGTGGTGTGTGGTGTGTGGTGTGTGGTGTGTTTGTGGAAGGTTAGAAAGCAAAGCAGGGGAGCTTAGGTTCAAAGCAGAGGGTTCAAGCTTCAAACTCTCTGAGAGCATTGTATTTATCAAAAGACACACACAGGCGGACAGATCAGAGGTATGCAAGCTAGCTAGTTCCATCTATATATGTGCATAATGAGCATGCATAAAGCTGACAATTAAGTTTCATTATTTCTCGTTTAAATTGTATATTCTATTTGTGTGTGTGTGAGTTTGTTTATTAGGCTTTATTATACACATTCATCCCTCTTAATTCTTCATATTGATGATCAACATGTTTGCATGCATGAAAATGGCATTACTTCTCAGCTAGCTCTTCGAACTTTTTGATGTATTTGTAATATATCGTTTCCTCATACTGCATCCAATAGTTTTAGTTAAAGTTGTTTCCTCCTCCCTCATCCATAGTTTCAGGGTAATAGCTTTAGTTAAAGTTGTTTCTTCCTACCTCATCCATAGTTTTAGGATAAAGTTTCTGATTAAATTAATCACTGTGCTGGCCTGCAATAAAAGGGCATGAAGCTACCTAGCTAGTCCCCACCAACCCGCTTTATGGGTTGAATTGATAAAATTAAATGCAAACATATTGATTCTGGGTGTTTTGGGACATTAATTTAGCTCTTTTTTTATTTTTTAGAATCTTATGGCAGACAATAATCATGGCAGTACTGTGCATGTATCCGATAATAATAACAAGTGGAAGATGCCTCTCCTTGTTTTCCTCAAAGATGCAAGGTATATACCATCTGCACATACCTGTCATAGATTGTATCATCGTCCACTGATCAATTTAATCTCAAACTGTGTTCTTATTCCCAACTTATGATTATTACCATGTGTTTGTGGGTGCAGAAAAGTGTTGAAGCTGGACTCAATTGGTAAAGAATTACTGGGAATTGCGTTTCCAGCTGCTTTGGCTGTGGCCGCTGATCCTATTGCTTCTCTCATTGACACTGCTTTCATAGGTCACCTAGGTACGTACGTAAGCTTCAAAATCATATGCTTCTGGATAAGTATATATATACATATCAAACTAAAATCAAAAGTGTTGTCCAAAAAATTGTTTCTCATTTGTTGATGATTCTTAAATAGGACCTGTGGAGCTTGCTGCTGCTGGAATTTCCATAACCCTGTTCAATCAAGCTTCAAGGATCACCATTTTCCCTCTGGTCAGTGTCACTACATCGTTTGTGGCAGAGGAAGATACTCTTCAGAAAATTACAGACATTGAAAAAGGTTTACCGATCAAAGAGAATAATGATAATAATAACAATAATGGTGATGATGAGAGCGACACTGTTGACAAGAATAGTGATAAGAGTAAGAGTTAGTTAGTACCGTGTCATCTATTCAGTGAAGTTTGCATAAAAATAACTTTAACTTTATTTGTAAATTTAAACTCTTAAAACTTAAATTTGCTGAATTATCAGATATCAAAACGAACACGCCCAAGCCTTCTTCCATGGCTACAAGTAGTAAGAATAAGAAGACAAAGAAGAAGCAAATAGCTACAGCATCAACAGCATTAATATTTGGGACAATCCTTGGCCTCCTTCAAGCGTCAATCCTTATATTTGCTGCAAAACCTCTATTACTTGCAATGGGTGCGAAACAAGTAGGTATCTTTATCTAACGAAATAAATCATGTTGTTTAACTTCTAACTTGTGGATAATGTGAATTTTCATGAAGTTTATTGTTATATTGACTAGAACACACAAAAGATGTGTTCTGTAAGGTTAATAGAATGATTTGAATTTGGTTAATTAATTAGGGCTCTGCTATGCTGATTCTCGCGGAAAAGTACTTGAAGTTAAGGGCATTAGGGGCTCCAGCTGTTCTTCTGGCTTTGGCTATGCAGGCAATCTTCCGAGGTTTCAAGGACACCAAAACTCCCTTATATGTTATTGGTAGGTTCAATTTCTTTTATAATATTGGGCTTAAATTAACTAGTAAAGCGAACGTACTATAATTTCTATATTGTCTGATTTGATATATGTTTAGTGCTCGGATATGCTCTAAACGTGGGTTTGGATCCAATACTTATATTTTACTGCAAGTTTGGCCTCAAAGGTGCAGCTATGGCACATGTCATCTCACAGTAAGTCCTAATAATCATCCTTTTACCCTAATAAATAATCTTGACCATTTTAATTGTAAGAATAATATTAATATCACACTACTTCTTCAGGTACTTGATGGCACTGGCTCTCTTGCTGATATTGATGAAAAAAGTAGATCTCTTACCTCCTAGTATTAAGGATTTGCAAATCTTTCGCTTCCTTAAAAACGGTGAGAACCTTAAATCACTAAAAGTGAAACCATACAAGGAATGACTTTAGTATAACAACTGATGACATTTACAATTATTGTGCGTGCAGGAGGGCTGTTGTTGGCAAGAGTAATAGCAGTAACATTCTGTGTGACATTTGCTGCTTCATTAGCAGCAAGATTGGGTACAATTACAATGGCTGCTTTCCAAACTTGTCAACAAGTTTGGATGACTTCTTCTCTTCTTTCTGACGGTTTAGCTGTTGCAATTCAGGTAAATGAGTTATATTATTTCCAACTTGTAAATACATACACACTCGCTTTGGTTCCTAACATAAGAATTAGATAATGCAGAGGTTAAAAAAAATTAGTTAAATTAGTCATTATTTGTTTAAAATATGTATTGGTTTCTCTAAAAATACCATCTTTAGTCATTCGCTTTGGAACTACCTTTTGATGCAAACCATCTTCACATGTGTGATCAGTATGTATAGTTTGGGGAAAAAAATATAAATTTCAAAAACAAAGTAAATTTTTTGGCCAAAAAGAAAAGAAAACAAAGTCAATTGAGGTTTTAGATTTCGAATCAAAATAAATTTTGTCATCAGCTTTTATATTCAAGACCGGAAAGAGTAGTAATGAGTTATTCGGAGCATGATAATGACTTTGATTTTGCTGGACGACAGGCAATTCTAGCATGTTCTTTTGCTGAGAAAGACTATGAGAAGGCCAAAGCAGCAGCAGTGAGGGTTCTCCAAGTAATAATGATGAAACTTTGAATCTCAGAAACTGATGAATTAATTTATCACTTAAGTTAATTAATTTGATTCAATATATGGTATATCCAATGATCGTGTTGTTTGATATGATATTGTGCAGATGTCTTTTGTGATGGGAGTAGGACTATCTCTTGTCGTTGGAATAGGATTGCACTTTGGAGCAGGCGTCTTCTCCCAAACCCTCAGTGTTCTCCACCTTATCAAAATTGGCCTCCCCGTATGCTTCTTTTATTCTTAATCCTCATGAAACGCAATTTTCTAACCCAATCTCACTGGTCTCTTTCAATTTATCTCTCCACCATAATTACTCAATGATCTCCGTGCCCATGTTATATCTTCTACGTGTATATATATATTTTTATACACAGGATAGTGTGTGTATGAGTATACTGGGGACGAATCCGCTTTCCCTGCTCATCCAATTGATAACTAGGGAATGCGGACCCATCATGGTACAAATGTCAGCAACTAAATGTTATGTTGAACTGAATGGAACAGTTTGTAGCAGCAACGCAACCAATCAATGCAATAGCTTTTGTGTTTGATGGAGTCAACTATGGAGCATCTGACTTTACGTATGCTGCAACTTCTTTGGCAAGTTTTTACTTACCCTTAACCTTAGTCATACCAAATCAAACTTATAATGTATCTATAAGCAATGTATTAAGATTAATGAAAGTACGATTTTGTTTGTCGTTGTGTTGATATATGCACATCAGGTAATAGTTTCAATTGTAAGCATTGGAATAGAATTTGTGATGTGTAAGATGAAAGGGTTCCTTGGCATCTGGATTGCTTTGACAATATATATGGCTCTTCGCATGCTTGCTGGTTTTTGGAGGTATATATGTATTCTTTTCCCACTTATGATACCTTCATTATCATCAGACAACGTTGTTTTTGGGAAATATGATAGATCCATTTACAAAAATATTTAATTAATTAATGTCCTTATTGCAGGATGGGAACAGGAACAGGACCATGGCATTTTCTTAAAGAATAAGAGCCATAATGCATTTGAACTTGGGATATAGTTATAGTTAATTATAGCCTAATTACCAATCCACAAACTTTGTTGTATCACTATATATCAAGACATAATCTATCATTATTACAGCTAGTGATTATTGGCTTTTTTTTTTGGCACCATTTAAACATTTTCATTTTTGTAATAATCCTGTGGCTTTTAGAGGGTTCCCATTCCTTTCGTATGTTATGTATCTATGTTTTAGATGCTCGTATATGAGTTGTGGAAAATAAAAGTTGTCATCTTTATGAATTGGGAAACAGTATTTAAATCTTAAAATATTGAATTATTGACAATTAGGGCTTTTTTTTTAATAAAAAAAAGTGAGTTGTAAATATCGATTCAAACAGTTGCAAACCGAAATTCTAGTTATAAACTAAGAATTACATTTGAAATTAAAATATCTTATCTCCAGTTGAGGCTCTCCAATTTACAACTATATCTGAAACAATATTTACAACTCATTTTTAAAATTTTTTTGTCAAGAACCTAATTATATGATTGATTCAATCTTTAGAGACCTTACCGTTTTTCTCTCTTATGAATTAAAGTGACTTGCTATTTTTTCTTTGCAGAATTATTGAATTTCAAGGTAGGTCTATATAGATTTTTAGAATATGCATATGTATATATATTTGATATGATATACACTAAAGGATGTGAAACCTTAATTAATCTGCGTCTGCACTATTTTCTTATCATCTACAGAAGCTAGTCTTAAAATTTTAATAAAAGAAAAATAAAAAATAAAAAATAAGAAAAATTAATTGAAAGCTTTTAAATACCAAGCAGATCTACGTCCGATATATTTTATACTGATTAGGAAATAGCGAACTAATGGAATGCATGTATATACATTGAACATGCATAAATCTTTATCCAGCATTTATCTCACCTTCAATTGAAAAATAAAGGAAGGAAAAAGCAGAACTATTTGTTTGGTTCTTATCCTCAAAATTTAAGCAAATATTTATTAAGATTGAGCTTACAAAGGTTAAAAATATATATAAGCTATTAAAATAATTATGATCATATATATGTATAAGTGTATATATGAATAAATAAATAAAATAACAATGTTAAGAAGTCTCATATCAACTGAAAATGGAGAGATTGAGCTCTAAAAGCCTATATATAGGTGGTACTGTGGTAGTAGAAGAGAGTTAAGAATAAGTCAAAAAAATTTCATAAAAAATTGAGACAATCAAGTGTTATTTACGAGTTTGTCAATCGATGGATTAGGTTAAAATTTAGTCAGGATATTTGTGATTTCAAATTTGTGATTTCAAACTTATCAATTTTAATGGTTGGATCATCAATCTGATATCTGAGGGACGAGTTATTAAGTATGCTTTAAATTTGTTTTTTTAGATTTTGTCAATAAAACTCTGAATAGTAAATTATCATTTTCAAATTTGTTTACTGCTAGATCAAGATACAATTTGAAGAATTGATTAATGACATCTAAAATGTTAAATTGAATGGTGAGATCAATAATTATACTCCTTTAGTATGAACAACTTAACTCATGTTAAATCTGAGTTTTTCAAGAATAGAACATAAGTTATAAATTTGAGAGTTTTTTTTTTAATCTAGGTTGTGAATTTGGTGATTCTAATGATATAATTTAATAATTAAAGGATAATATAAGTTAATAAAACCTAGAAATTCAATCTAAATCTTTATATATATATTCCTATTCCAAATCTTAGAAAAATCCTTTGGAGTTAGAATTATGAGTAATAGTTAAAAAATCTTAGAGGGAGAGCTAGAGGTTAGAACTTTGTGAGTAGTTTCCTTTACTACTTAGAGATAATGTTTTAATTTCATTCATAGATATAAATTTTATTGTGGCATTTTCGAGTTTGAGTCTCATTTGTATTTGACTGCTAACTAGGAGACCAATTAATTGAATTTCTATCTGTTGCATGCTCTAGTATGTGTTGGAGAGTGGTTTTTATAACCAAATTCTTTTATATGAAGTTTTTATTTGCATAAGCTGTCTTGTGGGATACTGTTTTAAAGGGAACTGAATAAAGTGAGTTTGAAAATAATTGATATAAAGAATGTGATGCGTGAGTCAAAGTTTTGATGTTCCTGTATATGTGTATATCCACTTAAATGTTTTGAATCATGTGCATTTGAGATGGGTGGTGGATGAGATTATTGGAGTTACTAAGATCTATATATTTACCATGTGATATTAGTCTTTATACGGAGCTCTATGGTTGGCCACTGTTATTGTCCTACTAGTTCTTCAAGAGACTACAACACCCACTGGTTCTTCGAGGAGGGACCCATGATCTACTAAGTGCTATGTGGTCTTTGGTTGGTCCATATCACTTGTATGGTGAGCTTGTGAGAGTAGCCAGTCAAGTGAAAACAACTTAGCCCATATATCTAGTCAATAGAAATAAGGAGGATATAAGAGTGGATTTGGGTTTAGGTATTGCATATGACATAGAACCTTTATTGATATTTATGTGTACTTCAAATTAATGGAAAATACATTATCTCTTATGATATTATCAATTGCATGAGGCTAGCAAAAATATCTAACTTGTATAGTCATTGTGAGTTTAACTGTTAAATAAATATTTATTGATTGTTATTAATTTTGTGTATCCCACTTGATACCACACTAGCCCATGCTAGTTTGTGTAATAGGTAGGGATTTACTTATTGAGACATTGTCTCATCGTGGTTGTTTAATATTTTTCAGATGAAAGTTTTAAAGGAAGGACATCAGGAAAGACTCAGGAGGAGTAAAGCTACATTAGCGACCTATAGCGCCTCCTCAATTTATGAGTTATGTTATTTCCTGTATATTAATTGCTACCTTATAACAAATTGTGTTTAATCAATTCACGCATTATACCGGAGGTAGTATTTTTGTGTTCTTTTATTTGTTTTGTTATGATATACATGCTGGTAGTTAGCCAGAGATTTAGGATTACATTTGATTTGTTTATTATGAATTTATTATAAAATATGGACGAGATTTAATTCTCACTATTTTAGTTTATGAGCTTTGCAATATGTTGTCTTATAACTATGTTATATGAGATTGATCCTTTCAAACATGGTTAGAATGTGAATGAGTTAAGAAAAGTTTTTTTTATTGATAGTATGTATAATTAGATCCCACTCTTTTTATCATGGATAATACTCCTCTAATCCTAAATATAAGACCCATTTTATAGTGTAATTCACACTACAAAATGGGTCTTATATTTAGAACCAGAAGAGTATTATTATAGAGTGAGTTAGTTTAAATGACTATGATAGATTTGAGTCTATTGCCAGCATGATTTGAATATAAAAAGATATTTTTAAAAGTTAATCTAAAAAAAATAAGTTTATCAATTTATTTTAGAGGGTTGTTTTATTTGACAATTCATTAAATTAAACATTTACAAGTGCAAAAATGGTTAATTACTGTGCGGTGCATAAAAAGCTATGCCTGAAATTACTCCCAGAAGAATATGTTGGAGCAATAAATAATTAATTAAATCGCACGCTCACTTACTATCTAATAGTCAAAAAGTTTGTGTATATATCTCTCTAGCAAAAGTCACTACCACTATGCTTTTTTGCTTGAAGTCAGTGATCAAAAACGAAATCCCATAATTTTTCTAGAGAATCTCCTAATTATTTCTTGCAAGTAAAAAATATTCTTTAATCAGAAAAAATTTAGTTCACATAAAAGATACTTATCTAGAAGTTTTTGCAGCTCAATCATGTACATAAAACCGTCAAAGATTTGAAATTTTCGAATTCTGTTGATAACTCACTGTAGGCTCAAGAAATAAAGGAATATTTGTAATAGTATTTGATACACAATACATCATATGCATTTCTCTTTTTTTTTTTTTTTTTTTCCTGAATACTTACCATATATATATTTTTTTGACAAAAGGGCCAAGCACAGGCTTGGAAAAGGAAAACTTCTACGAGCTAATCGGAGGCCCCTCCTCCTCCAGAAGGGCCACACATTCTGGGTGGGGAGTCGTCCAAATCGCGAGGTTGCCCGTCCTATCATGTGCGGTTTTTGCCAGTCGGTTTGCACATCTAATTGTGTCTCTGGGTGCATATTTGAGCTGCAACTCCCACTCCGAGAAGATCATGCTACGGGCCACGTTGATTTCTTCCCTTAGTGGGTGACTCTGATCTCCATCCCTCATGATTAGATTAAAGACCTTCATAGAGTCTATACATGCTATTACTCTCTCTAGTCCATACTGCTGGCAGCATTGAAGACCTTGTATTAATGCAAGAAGTTTTACAGTGGTGCTGTGTGCATATCCCGGTTTGTATTGGTATCCAATTGTCTACTGTTCATAAGAATCTCGAATTATACCTCCACCTGTTGCTTCCTGCGCATTGTTTACAGATGCGTCCTTGTCTAGTCTGAAGTAACCTGGTGGTGGCGTTTTCCAAACAGTTTCCTCTTGATTGCTGAAGCTGAATACTTACAAAATTTTTATTGTAAGAAAATAAACATTTTCATTTATTTTTAATTTTTCTACCTAATATGCATCCAATAACTTAGATATATAAATATACACACACATCACGAACGAAATTTTATTTTCAAATGTACATAAATAAAAAAAAATTAATCAAATTATAATGTATCCTTTTTGCTTCGTGTTAAAAAAAAAAATACCAACTTTACCTCTCTCTCTCTCTTTTTTATACGCTGGAAAATATGCCAACTTTGCCTCTATGCATATGCAAGTATGAGCTCAAATCAAGGCCAAGGGGCCAAAAAGATAAAGTCAAAACCAAGTAACGTCTCAGGTTCTAAAAAAACAACAATAATAATCACATAACATAAGAAAGTTCGCCTAAAACACAAATATATAAATTGAATCATCTTTAATATTCATGCATTCAATATTTTAGGAAAAAAGAAAAAAGAAATATATAAAAATGTATATATGTGACCGTGTATAAACTCATTTATATATATATATATATATATATATATCTCATATACACCTACCTACTTTT